GCAACAACAACAATAACAACAACAGCAGTCACCACAACAACGATAGCAATAGCATATCTTAAAAAAACAATGTGTTGAATTTATTATTATCTTAAATGATTAAATAAATAAAAAAACAATATATAATAATAAAATTTCTTTTTTAAATATAAATCATAAATTAATCATAAAAAACTTTAATTTTTTTTTTGTGGTAAAAATTAGCAAATTAATAAAAATATGAACAAATATTTAAATACACATAATAAATTAATTAATTATGTAAATCACTTAACTAACAATTTAAACAAAAAAAAATTTTATTAACATTATGAACTATATACAGTCAAACTTCCATAACTCAAACTTCTATAACTCGAATTTCTATATAACTCGAACAAAAATATTGTCACATGGACTCTATAAGTAGAATTTTTGTTTTAAGTATGAATCCATTTTGGTGTTAGGGGAAGTCCCTTTTTCCAAACCAAATCTTTAAAGTAAATAAAATAACTTCCCAATGAAATTTGTTCATCAAGCTTTCCTACAGATGACGATATTATTGGGTATTATAGCTCTGAATTAGTGGATCTGATTCTAAGTGGAACGTAAAGTAATGATTAGGGTTCGGTGGATGAAATTGTGCATTAGCCTTCCAAGAATAAGGTAGAAGGCTCATTCAAAGTTCTGCATTTTTATTTACAAACGAATAATACTCCAACTGATTGGAATCTCTTTTTACTGAAAATAAGAAAAAAAATTAAATTCACAAACCCTAATTTCTGAATATTATAGTTTACTATAACTTTTGAGCTGTATACAATCACAAATAAATAAGTAAATATCTTAATATGTAATTCATGTTTTTTTAAAAAATAAAAAAAAAAATTAAAAAGTTTCGAACTCGAAATCTCCATAAGTGAAACCATAAGTCGAATGATACTTCGATTTATGGAAATTTGACTGTATGTATATAGAATTTACTGAAGCTAAACAAATATTAGAAAAGTTTAAGAAAAACTCGAATAGGTTATATATATAGAAAAAACAAGAGATGAAAATTTAATTCAAATATTTACCTCTAATAAAAAGAGTTTGAACTAGAAACTTATAAGCAAGAGTTTAATAACTTGAAGAAAAATATAGAAAAATATCTCAAACAAAAAGCAGACGTGGCTTGTTTGGATATTTCGACAGCTTCAAAAATAATACCCCAATTCAATGGTGAACAACAGTCACTATCTACTTTTCTTGGCATGATTGAATTTTATCATGATACACTTAAAAAAGGAATCGACAGAGAATCTCCTGTCATTATTATCATAAATATATTATAAAGGTGATTATTAATGTTCAAATATAAAGAAATTCAATTTTTTAAACTATTTTTCATATATTCTATGAGTTATCTTTGCAGCACAAAAAATTTCAAGTGTTTCTAATTTAAAAATTAGTATAGTTTTTAAAATATTGCCATCTTAAATCATTAACTTTGAATAATAATGTCATCAGTTATTTATTAAAATTCCATGAAAAATCTTCATCATCCGTGACTATACAGTCCGTCTAGGACCCAAGCCTGTTTAACAACAGTCTTCCATTCTTCTCTGTTTTTTGTTTTCCTTTTCCAATTTCTTACCTATATTCATTACTTCTAAGTTCTGCTGCACACTGTCTTTTCATCGTTTTCTTGGTCGCTCTCTTCTTCTGCTTGTTCCTACTTCGTTCTAATAAAACTTAAGCGGCTGTTGTTCAACATTCATGGCGGGTAAATTTTTTACGGTATGGGGTTGTTAACCTTAAGATCAACTATTTGTCTAGAATTACCATTCGAGACGCTCGGAAATGGCAGACTTGCAAGAAGAGGCACAGCCTCAAGAATGATAGACCCAGAATCATTCTGTGGTCTAGACAAAGGAACTCTATCAATTCTTATGAATGGTGTAGAGGAAAAAGAAAGAGAACTCTATTGGGAAAGGAAAGGACTCTCACAATCTAAAATGCTGTTAAGGACTTACAATCTAAAACGCATCAAAAAATTGCATAGCACAATCAAAAAACAACCTAAGAATTATTACGGGATTATTGACCGGTCACTGTAGATTGAATAATCACCTATCAAAGTTAGGAATTCAATCCAACTCAGATTGTAGATACTGTATAGAAGAGAGAGAAGCTGCATATCATATGCTTGGAGAGTGCTCGGTACTGATGCACAAGCGGAAGAAATATCTAGGAGGGTATTTCATGGATCGTAATGGTTTAAAACTAAGAAAGATAGGCTCTACACTGTCTTTCTTTAAAGAAATCGGACTTGGAGAAACACTTTAACCCGAGTAAGGGGCACAATAGATATTTTAGGTCGCACTGCACATTCCCTTCATTTAATAATAATAATATTTTGCTCTATACAAAAGGTAGTAACTAATTCAAGCAAAAGTAATATCGTTCCATAGACTTTGCAATTCTATATTGCTATTTACCTACATTAGCTTTACACGAAAACTAAAATATTTTATATATTTACACCTTCAAAACTCATTCACAAACAAAGATAAATACAACTATCCGTTATTGCATAAATTCATTATAATTGCCGATACTAAAGAACTTAAAATAAAATTAGCTCATTTCAATGCATAAATAAAACCATTTCGAATAAAATGTGCCAAAACAGAAATACAACAATAACACAACAATAATAACAAACAAGCAAATAACAAAATCAACGATTCATTTTGACCAAATCAAAATTTGTTGGCCACCATTTTTGGTTGCCAAATTAAATGAAAAACCAATTAAAATCTTTTTTTTTGGTGGGTTTAGCTGCTCGTGCAAACTGTGAAGTACAAAAAAAACCCATGTAACGTAAATTTTGTGTTTAACCACTAAAAAACAAAAATAAAATCAAAAAAAATAAATAAATTATTGTAAAGTGAAAAAAAGAGAAATAATTGCAATTGCAATAACAATATTAGCGACAACAACAACAATTTAAATAACAATTGCAACAATTTTAGTTTTTGTAATTAGGGGAATAAAATAATTGGCCATTAATTTGGTTACTTGCTTGCAATCAGAGTTGCCAATGTTCTACAGGTTCTAGCGAATTAAATAAAATAGTTTAGAGTAAAAAAGAATAGAGTCAATCGTTTTAAACGTGCTTACCTGCCATTGAGACATAACACCACGACATTCTTAACACACGTATAAGTATAATGCAATGATAATCGTCCCTATTGGAGTTCCAAGGAATCCCACCAGCACCAATTGAAACTATACAGTCATTCTTCTTCCCGCGTAACTTTGGTTTTAGCCACAGCCCGAAAAGAAGCGAATCTGCGAGCCTCTGATAAAAGAAGCAAATCTCGATTAATAAGAACAACCGCAAGTGAAATTTACTCACTACCATTTATACTCTAAACAGTATCGAGTGGGTGCGTACTAGAGTTTAGTCGTCTCTTACGACAGACATGCCTTACCTCGCGTATATATCATCATCATCATCATCCGTGATTATACAGTCCATGCAGGACCTAAACCTCTTTAACAACAGTTTTTTTTTTTCTCTGTTTTTTGTTTTTATTTTTCAATTTCTTATGTTCATTTCTTCCATGTCCTGCTGCACACTGTCTTTCCATCGTTTTCCGGCATTCTTATCACATGTCCAACCCATCTTAAGCGCTGCTTTTTGATAAATTTGTTGATTGTATCACCTTCAGATAGCCGTTCTAGCTCGTGGTTGTATCTTATGCGATATATCCCGTTTTTTTCCTTTCCAGAAACTGCTATCTTGCTTGCCTCAGTTTCAGTTACTCTCCATGTCTCGCAGCCATATGTTACTACTGGGCGAATCAATGTTTTGTATATTTTAAGCTTTGTTTACTCCAAAATAATATTACTTGTAATTAGCCGTTTTAATTCATACTAGGCTTTATTCCCAACATGTACTCTATCTTTTAATGTAATCATTGAAGGGTTGTTCTCGCTAAACACAATATCTAGGTATTTATATCTACCAACACCTTCAATTTAAGTTCCAATGCTCCCCTAAGAACGTCATGGAATGAAGATGAAGAAGAAGACACCTTCAATTAAATGGCTGTCTATGTTTAGGACATTTGGAGTAGATTTTGTGGCTGAGGTTCACATGTGTTTGGTTTTTCATAATATAACGCATTGTTGATAACTAAGTTAAGACTCATTGCCGACGAGGCATCACCTTGTCACACGCTTGTGTTGAGCTGAAATTGTTCGGAATAAAAGTACTGCTAATTTTGCTGTTGTGCTTTCTAGGGACACAATGACGAGATTTGCTGTTTTTTAGATACACCTTGAATCATGAGGGTATTTTTTATACAACTGCTATTAACACCATTGAAAGCTTGTTTGAAGTCAATAAATAAACAGTGTATATTATTTCCATATTCTATACATTTTTCCGAAGCTTGTGATAGTAAAAATAGTTGATCAGTTGTGCCCCTACCTTGATGTAGTCCGAATTGATAATTATCCAAATATTCTTCCGCTAACCCTTTAATTCTATTTAGAATTATGGTTGTGAGCACCTTATAAGTAACACATAGTAAAGTTAGGCGTTTGTAATTTGTGCATTCTAGTCTATCACCTTTTTTATATATGGGACACAATATACCGACTACCCATTCATCAGGCATTTTTTTATTTTTCCAAATGTCGTTTATAATTTCATGTATAATATAAGACGGTATATTGTTGCACCACTGTATTTTATTAATTCTTCGTTTAAAGAGTTAATACCTGAGGCCTTATTGTTTTTAAGCTTTTTATATCATCTATTACCTCTTCATATTTCGAATCTTCAATTTCACCTCCAGAAATCGAATCCAATTCCAATCCAGAAATCGGTGTTTCTGGTTATTTTCACTGTTTCGATGAATTGCTGCTGTTAGTATTAATTCCATCATCTTGAACACCAATTTCATTAGATGTAATTTTTGTTTATATATGGTCCTTTTTCTAGATTGTCAATAAGTTCTTGTTCAATCCATTTTTTCTTCCGTTAGGCCCTTTACAACGTAATGGTCGAAATCACAATTTGTTTCTCTATATGTTCGTACATCTTCTACTGATGTAGCGTGCCTTTTCTCTACCAGTACATGGTCTATTTGGTTACATAAGTGTGATCCTGTGATTTTCCATGTCCCTTTATGAATACTTTTGTGTAGGAAATTAACGCCTTTAATCCATAATTGATTACTAGTAGCAAAGTCATATAGTTTCGCACCATTTTCAGATGTTGTCTCGTGTAGGGAAAATCTTCCTGCTACATTGTTTGTCATTTGCTCGTTTCCAATTTTTGCATTAAAGCCCCCACAGACTAATATCATATCATACTGCTTTGTAACGTAGCAAGTCTTATCTAGTAGATCATAAAAGGCATCGATAACCTCTTCATTTCAACTTTCTTTAGGCGCATGGTATGATATAACGTTTAGGCTTTGAAATTTTCCTTTTATTTTAATTTTGTGTGTTATTTGCGATGCGAGACCTACACTTATTATGTCGTTTCTTATTTTTTTTGTTTACATATAAGCCCATTCCATACAACCCAGTTCTTTGCTTCGTTCCACAGAAATATATACTATAGTCTCTCTTTCTTATTTCACTATATCCTAGCCATGTGATCTCTTGTAACGCGCATATGTCTAGTCTATTTCTAATTAGTTCATCAGCAATCTCGTGCATTTTTCCGGCTTGCGTCATTGTTTGTATATTCCAAATTCCTAATCAGATTTTCAAATCTTTAGTCCGTGTACAATTCCAAATCCTTTTATCATGTTCCAATTTCATTCCAGACTGTTGTTCAACATTTATAACGGGTAAATTTTTTTCGGTATAAGGTTGTCAATTTTAAGACCAACCATTTGTCTAGATTTAACACTTCAGACACTCGCCCTTTGTAAAAAGGCTTTGCTTACAGGGCCATGATGTTATTTGGTGGGCGTTTCTCGCATTTTAGGACTTTATAATTATGGGGTTATGTTACCACGAAACCCTTGCAAATACTTTTCCCCTCTCTTTTCTCAACCGGGCTTGAGGCCGTCTACAGCGGAGTTTCGGGAATATATACTCTAACCTATTTCGAACGAGGGTAGGTAGACAGAACATTAAATGTCAAAAATAAAGCAGAGCAAAAGCATTTCTGTCACTATATATCTGTGACAACATTGAGAGTCGTCAATTATTGTAATGAGAGAGTGTAACTTAATCGTGCGTCGACTTCTTTGTTGAAAACTTTTGGTCTATAGGGGAAGTTATCACATACTATATCAAACGATTGTAGTTTAATAGTGCGTTGGGTATGAACAATCACAAAAATAAAAACATAAAAGGAGTACCCACGTACATTACTTTCATACAATTAAAATTAAGTCCACAAATATGAAGCAACAAGTGGCATTTCTATATAAACAATACATTTATTGGCCATCATGAAATTGGTTCTAGGTCATAGGCACATTTCTGGCTTCTGTAGGATCGATGCAGAAGTTGATCATGACTTCCAATCGCATTAGATGTCGATATCAGTTTAGTTTTAATCACACTACACTTTTTAGGTAACAGCCAAGCGATCGTTGTGTCCATCGCTCAAGTTGTCACAGCATCTAAGTTGTATCTGTATCGGCAAATTGTACATCTTTCAATGTTATTTCAATCCAAGCAATGGTTATCGTAAAATGGCTTCTGGATCGTAGGACATTTATTCACACACTATATGACTGACGAACTGACCTGAAATATGTTACTTGTTTCAATTGACTCAATCAGATTCGATACCGGTATCCCTTTAATTCATTTGAACGGACTTTATGTATAGAATATTCGAACATGGCGAATCAAAGATGGCAGGAAGAATTTGATTTATTTGACACTTTTTCGTTTAATTTACTTTTCTGAAACGTGATCAAAATCTAAACTGTGAACAAAAACTTTGAACTTAACTAGTCCACGTTTTTAATGGAACAGTAGAATGTTTCTGAGCAGAGTTAAGCAACAGTGGCTCATTAATACTTTTTATAACCATCTGAACGCAAAAATATATGTAAAAGGTCAACAGAATTACAACAATGATGAAGAACATTTTATTTCTTATATACACTTAATTTTAATAGACTTCGGATATATATATTAGCGATATCTTAACTCTCAAAACTGTTTTAAGTACGAACTCAGTCAGTGTCAAGTGTAGATCTAAAGCATGTCTTAAGTCACTATTGAGACTTAATTTACGAATGTGAAATAAGCCTTTAGTCTAATAGAAATATATAAGCCTGCTAATTATTCGGGTTACAATAGAATGGATCTTAAATAAGCAACCTTAGCAATATTCTCCTTTATAGATGCGGTGCTTAATTAATTACAAATATAGCATGCATGACTATCGAACGAGTTGACTAAAAAATTTAACTAACTAGTGTTTATATGTATATATATATATTTTATCTACTTAAAGCATTTATTGAGCAGTTGTAATCAAAAATTATTTTATTAAATAAAATAGCTAAAATCTAATTCACACCACAATTACTATTGATTATTTGCACATTTATTCCTACATACAAAACCGAAGTACATGTTTCGAACTCGTACGCCTGTAATTGATTTAAATCTTAATTTAATCACATTTAATTTAATTCAATTTCTATGTTCTATTTTACAATTTTACAATTAGGGATTTATTTTATTATTTTTTATATATTACATTAACTGTGATTTTAAATTGAATTGAAAAATATAAACAAAAAAGTTTGCTTACAATGACTAAAATTTTGTATCTGTTACGCCTAATTAATTTATATTTGAGCAATAATTATTCTGCTTTAGAAATACAAAAACCAAAAAAAATCTCATTCAATTATATAGGAATATTTATTTTAATTTTATGGACTAAATGGGATAATTTTATCAGCGATTTTGTTTGGATACCCGAATTATTAATAAACTGTTCAGCGTCATAAACTGTTAAATGGAGGTGTGATATTAACAGCTAGAAAAAAATAAATGGTACAGTGAAAACTCTCTTAAACCAACAGTAAATATCCACCATCTTTATACGTTCAAGGGAGTTGTCCAACCAAACGGCGCAAATTTAGAGAATGTCCAAAAATTTGCTTTTAGAAAAAGTGCCCTCCCAAAACATGGGTGTCCTTTCAATAGTGATATCTATGTTTTGACAGTATTAATAGTAGCCATAACTTTTTCTTTCAGAGTTACAAAAAAACAGCATTAAGTCTGGTTGAAACAAATTGGCATCACTCAAATATATTAAATGCTTATTTTTGACATAAGCATTATTATCTCATATATAAAAAAGTTTTCCCTGAAGATGATTATCGAAGATAGTCGAAATATCGGAAATAAAGTATAAACGATTTTTAAATATAAATAATAAATTAGTGTCTTTTTATTTATATTTAAATTTGACCAATTAGCCCGATAACAAATTATTATAATATATAAAAAAGTATATGAAATACTCATGTGTGACTTAAACGTCACATGAATGTTCCAGTGAACATTCACAATAGACTGATTTTTGTGACTAAAACCTAACTCTAAAGATTTTAAGAGCATTGTTGTTGCTTCACAAGAAAAAATTATAGCTAATAATGTACATTAATATTATTAATTAAAATAGACAAAAACTATGTTGTTTTCTAAATTTTTTCATCACATCGGCTGAAAGCTTTATATCCTTACACCTTATATCCTCTATTTGAATTTTGAGATCAGTTTTACAGTCATAAGTCATAATTCCAGATAAATCATTTCCACATTAATGATAACCTGATGAAGCAATATCAAGTCTATGCGATATATAAACCAAAACTTACTGAAGAAATTCTTTTATTTTTTACCGGTTCTTCAAAGATGTGTGGTTTAGCGTTATTATGATAAAATAGAGCAATTTCTGACGTAATTAATTTCTGGCTGATAGTTGAATTGTCAGCTTGAATTGAAATAACTGTCAGGCAGTAGAGAGAATCAACTCTTAAGTCAAGTGACCATTGCTCATAATGTATGATTTTGAGCTACAACCAAACACATATCATTACTATTCTCACTCACAATACCAGATTTGATAAGATTTATTGAACTAGAACTGCTTTTGAGCAAATCCATTATCTAAAAAAATAGCTACAGTATTTGTAATTGTAAATTTTTTTTATAAATAAACCATTTTAAAAGTTAATTAGAACATGCCAAGACAGCTACTAAACTGAAAAGCAAATAAAAGGTTATTTTACGGAAATAATCAATAAAATTCTGATTCTGTTTAATATCTATTGATATATTATTTAGGAATTTAATTCTACTAAAAAAATGGTCTTCATTTAATAATCTAAGTTCAACTGTTGACAATTACTGCACAAGACAGTCTGGATATATCCCTATCCTCGACATCGATTAATCATATTTCAGACAGAATCAACAATCCAAGAGCCCAATTATACATTCGCCATCGATCAATCAGGGGCACTGTATTATTTCTTTGCTCTTCTATTCATTACAAAATATTTTTTCAGACATATCGGCATCCCTCTATATACGCTAGGCACGTCCTCTTCTGTTAAGTCATAGTGTGATATATTTTTTAATACCTATTACAAAACATTATAACTTAATTATAACACTTTACACTTTAAGAGAAATACAGTCAATGTTTTTTTTTTCTCTCATAGCTCAAATTTTATGCTTCTTTTTTTGATACTTTTAGAACAAGTGATTTGAAGTTATTTTGCGGTTATTCTTCAATTTTATTGCAATTTTGTGACTGCTTCTTCTTTAGCCTTACTCACAATTGCATCAACGAATTTCAAGAAATATACACCGGGAGGTCTGTTAAGCTGGCATTAACGAGATCAGTAGTGCAGTTGAAGAAAGATCAATTCGTTTGAAAACATATACTTTATATGAAAAATAAAAATTGAAGAGCTTTGACTATATGTATATTTATTTAAGATAGTGATAAGAATAAAATAATGTGTATTTTCTCAAATGTTGCCATCTTATTAGGGCTAAATTATATTACGGACAGACAGACGGCATATTAATCGGATCATATAATTTTTGTACATTATTAATTTGTAAAAAAAAACCACCTATAAAGTTCTCCTTCTCCCTTGGTGTAATGAGCAGTTTTATACCAACACTCATAGAGCTGTGTGTTTTTGTATTTGTCGGTTTCTATATTGATTTCCTATTATCTACTCACTTAATTGTTGGATCTTCCATTGATTGAATCCAGGACGAAGTTTTTTACTCTATTGAACACTATCTTAAACTTCTTACCTAACTCCACTTCATTGGCATTACGCATTTTGCC